GCCACGAAAAGGGACAACGGCATGTGCAACGCATCTTCGCGTGTATTCATCGGCTCGTGTCGAGCCGATTCTCGAGCACGAAGCACCGGCCGATATGAGATTTAGCTATTTGGACCACGGCCTTAACGACGCCGAGGCATTATTTCTTGATGGAGCTTAATTGCGTAAACAAGGCTCTATTTATTACGGTTACCGCACGTTGTGCGGTTGTGCCCGTCGTCTCTCCACGTAAAACGCACGTGCGGCCCTGGACTTTTATAGAGATACATATGCCCAACATAATTCGATCGCGTGATCAATTATCTTTTATTAGCGTTACGTTACACAAAGCTCTTATGATTTTTATGTGATGTGCGGGGTATATATTTCAGTTATAATTAAAATGCACTAAGAAATTCTCGAAACATGTAATTAAATCTTCTTCAATAAGACTCCGAATGCGGTAATTTTGCTACATGTTTAACATTTGATTAATTTTGCTCTTTTTTCTTAAATAGAGTTTTTTAATCATTAAACTTGAGTCTCAAACGTTGATTTCGCGAGACTTTTTACCCGCACTTCTTTCGCACTGTCCTGTCTTTCTGGAATTTTCTTGGCTTTTTAAACCCCGCTTATTTTCACCTTACGATTCGCTCTGGCGATCTCTTGAGTTTCACTTTTCTGCGACTCAGGCGAGGGTTACTCGACCTTACAGCACGGCAGGGTGCATATTGTGTGCACCTGTCGCTTGACCTAAGAAAGAAAAAAATTCTCTCGGCTCGTTGCTCTCCCCCCCTGTTTCACTCTTTCTCTTTCTCTCTTCTGTTTTCATAACGCTCACTCTCGTTCGCTCGCCGCATTTGGGCAGAACATTTTCCGAGGACGAGTACGATCGCGCGTCCAGCGCGCGTCTTTGAATCGCGGTAGTGTGTCATTCTAAAAATAGAGAGAGGTTGAAACGAGAGGGAAGCTAAGACGCGAGAGAACGAGAGGCAGGAGCATGGAAGAGTAGAAGGAGAGTAGAGACGTAGAGGCTGAAGAAGAGAACGAGACGCAGAAGGAGAAGGAGAGAGAGGGAAAGAGGTACCTCCATAGTCTCGGTCGTGAACCCGAGGAACGACCTCGGTGAAACGTTGGGTAAAGAGAAACCAGCGAGAGAGAGAGAGAGAGAGAGAGAGAGAGAGAGAGAGAGAGAGAGAGAGAGAGAGAGAGAGAGAGAGAGAGAGAGAG